CCCACCATGGAGCTAATACCGGATTAGGTATTGCTATGCGGCCCGAGGTGGGCATGCTTCATTTTTTTCCTTTTTCTGCGGCTGCATGTTTGGAAGGCGGTCGAAATTAGCTAGGTAATGCCGGCCTGGCCCGCTTCTTGGTGGCAAATAATGCCCAATGCGTGCTCGGTATCTCCCGCCACGATCACGCCAACAAAACCAACAGCCCTCAACCGTGCCTCGGCCTCCCCCCTCACCTGCCTGCCAGCATCCCAATAACCCCAACCGTGCTCCAGCCTTCCCTCGCTCCACTGCATACGACAAGCGAGCCAAGACGGTGAAATTTGCTCTTCCCGCTCTAGCGGAGACATTTCAAGCTCCAGTTTCCACTATGGATGGACTGGTGTGTTGGTTCTTGAACAGCTTAGGCAGCCGTGTTCCCAGGGTGTGCATGGGCATGCATGTCGACGAAATTTCCTCGTGTTAAATTGGGGGAGCGAGGGTCCGGAAGGGGAGCCAGGCTCTGTCGAGTCTCGCTTGTGGTACCGTTCCGGTGTTTTATACGACGGCATCGCGGCTCCCCAGGGAACACCGACCGAGGCAGGACCCAGCACCCAGTCGATTCCGCTCGTTTGCTCTCACGCCTCGGCCCGCGTCCTCGCCGTTCCACCAAACCCCCCCTCTTCCCGCGCGCCCGACATGCCGTTCAGTATCCCTCGCTGCGTCCCGGCCGCGCTCGCCGCCACGTCGGTGGCCGCGCAGGCGGCGGCGGCTGCCTCCTTGCCGCCCCAGCCGCTGATGCCGCGCAACGAGTGCATGGAGGGCGCCGATAAGGTTTGCTACGGCATCGATGGCGGCCAGTCGCAAAACCTCGACGTCGAAATGGTCCAGTACGCGGCCCTGTACCTCCGCTACCTCGGGCAAACGAGCGGCAAGAAGCCGGCGCGCTACACCATGCCCGCCCTGGGGGCCGGCGAAGGCGGCTGCCAGGAATGGGCCATCGCGCTCCCCAAGGGCACCGGCATCCTGCTGCTCGCCAAGCACACAAACCCGTCCTTTGCGTCCTCGGTCACGTACGAAGATATGGCCGACAGTATCGACGGGAGCGAAGGCGCTACGGATGCCGAGCGCAAGGCTGCGCTTCTGGGATGCGGCACGAACGGAGGCCAGCGTGGGGTGGTTGCTAAAAGCAGTAACCCGGCGTACCAGACGCAAGAGTATAAAAGTACCGGGGCAAAGCCAGAGGGAATTGTAATTAAGCTGATTGGCGCCCCGGATTTTTAGGCGGATGTGTGCTTTTTAAAGGATAGGCCTTATAAATATAAGAATAAGGTGTAAATATTATGCGTGTTTTGACCCAGCCGGGAACTGAGGTTTGTGAGGGGAACGTGGCTCGCTGCCATCTGAACCCAGCAGGAATAGGAAGGCATCTGGGAATTGAAAAAAGACCTTGGCGGGAGGCTCTCTAATAAATGCAGGCAAAACAGTCAGTGGCACACGCCAAACCCTTACCGAGCGGTCATCCATCATTCACCTGCGCCTCAAGCAACAATTAACTTCAGCTTGTCCGTATATTGACACAACTTCCCGTATTTGGTGGTAAACTACGCATGCAGTCACTAGCTCTCCCGCCTTTCAAACCGAGATCTGTAGTCAGAGCAGGCGCTTTGACACCCTTTCGTCTAATCTAATACTCGCTCCCGCGTTTGCCTAAGCATACCAGATATCTAGCAAGCCATAAAGAGCTGCGGCTATGGGCAGGTACGTGCTGGCTCGGTTTATATGTATGTGTGGATGGTAGGTACCGAGATGTAGGATGGCTAAAAGAAGTTTTCCCAAACCCTGCCTCCTCATTTCTTTTTGTATTTCAGCGACATGTGGTCTCGCATCCTGATGCCAAAAAGAATGTGCAGAAGCCAAACATGCGAAGTTGGCTGAAGGATAGGAAAGCAGAGTAGACATCGTGGGCTCATGCCGGAGGGAGGAATGATGAAAACAGCACGCCCTGGATAGAGGCGTACATAACCATAAACACGACAAATCCTTTCGCGGACCCCGTTGGCCTTCCGTCCTCCCCTGCGAGGTGCTTCGCCAGCCACCAGTACCAGACTGGGTATGCAGATGAAAGGCGAGTGATTATCTGGACGTGGTAGCTCGTCAGAGCCATGACTGACAGCAGCACTTGCGCCGCAGCCATACTTCGCACAAGTCCCCCATCGGCATATTGGGCGGTGTCTTCTTTTCTCTGGGCCGTCTTTCCACTCGTTTGAGGGATGCCCCGGGGCGCGCCGAGAAAGTCCCAGCCGGACTTTACAAGAATGAATAAAACTGGAGCGGCAAGCATGAAGAGCGGAAGATTCGACACAGTCCAGTAGCGGAACGGTCCGACGCCCCTATAGTAAAACGTCAGTCTGTGCACATGTCGAGGAACAACCCGGGTAGTTTACGGGAGCCAAGCTTACCAGTACTCGCGCTGAACAAAAGAGTATATGCTGGGTAGAGTCTGATTGCACCAAGAACGGAGTGGTGTTCCTGGCGGCTGCAAACAATATCGTTGATATGCCACAGCCTGCGGAACGATAAGCCCGGCAGCGATGCAAATCCCACCCAGCCCCAGCACAGCTAGCCTCCAGATAGTGGCTGCGGAGGGGTGGGATAAGAAGCCAGAAGCTTCGGAGATAAATGCAAAGGCGAACGGGATGCCGTTCAGCAGACCGTTAGACCGGAAGGTCGTGGCAAGGGCGAACACCACTGCAGACGCCAGCGTAAGGCCATCGCGAGCCAGGACCGACCCAACGGATCCGGCACGAGCGGCCTTGGCAAACAGTAGCATACCCGCAAACGAAAGCAGCGAGAACGAAGCCTCGGCCACGGGCGCGGACAAGAAGAGCCCAGCAGGGGAGAGCACGTGCAGACAGGTCGCCGTTAGGGCGACGCCTGGTTGGTCATGCCAGACCAGATTCCCGAGCCGGAGCAGCGCTAGTGCCGAGAGAAGGTGCGACGCATGGGCAACTAGCACGCCCACGAGCGCCGCTGCTGGGACGCCGCTCCAAGACCATCCCGAGGCTCTCAGCGCTGTTGAGTGATGGCGGACGGGAGCGTATACCGAGTCAGCCGACAGAGCAGGAAAGCGAGACAGGCACACAGGGTAGAGCGTGGCAGTATCTGTGCTTGGTGCCAGGATGCCAGGCAGCTCACAAACACAAACAAACAGACAACACCAGCATCATCTCAGTGATGAAGACGGCACGGAAGGAAACCAAAAAAAAAAATACCTTTAACTATCCAAGAGATAATGGTAGGGGGTCCATAACCAAAGGCCCACTCTTGCTCAAACACGTAGCCGCGGTCTGCCGACTCAACGAAGTAGATAGCGTCCCAGCTAACAAGCCTAGTGAGGACAGCAGAGACGGCGGTCGTGCTGTGGTTGTCGAGGATGTCGCCACCGCGGTCGGCGAGGAGAAGACCCCCAGAGGTGTCATATGCCGGGCCGACAATGGCGCTGCCAAGGGCAATCAGGAGGAGGGTGCCCTTCCAGGCCGCAAAGAGGCGGATGACGGTCGACGTTGGTGACGACACTTTAGGCATCATCTTTTCTTCCCCGCTCATTATTTTTAGTGGCTGCGTCTCGTGGACGATCTGCCCAGCGTATGCTGAGGGGCAAAGACGAACGCGGTCTGGTTTCGTCTCAAGTGCAGTCCCAGCAATGGAATTGACTGGATGTTGGCAGAGGAATAGCACTCCACTGGGAACGGATTACATAATGCGACCAAGCTCAGGGCTTCGAGCGACGATTTATGTAGTTCACGGCCTCCCCGATTGCCTTCCCATGTTCACATATTATTTCTCTTCTATTTCTTAGGACACTAGCAACTCAGACCTGCTACTGCAGACAACCACGAGGGACGCCCGCTAAGGCCAGATTACCACGAACTGGTTCGTGTTCCCTGGCAGGCAGGCGCGGAACAAGAACCACCAGCCAACACGCATCAGGGGAACTGCGATGAGAAGGCCGGAATCGGTGTGGCTCAGCGTATGCATAAAAGAGGAACTCTGAACAGCACAGCAAAATCTGCGGGGAACATAAAGCCATGGGTGACACGGGCATTGCGGGTGAGGTCGCTGCGGACGCAGGTGTGTTATCCCCAATGACATGCACTCTGACTCCGCGCATTTCGGCCCTGTCCATCACGCAGTTTGGCCCAAGGAGCAAGCCACTTCCTCTGGTGCCCCCCTCTCCGGTGCCCCCATGGCCTGCATTTGTGATCTAGCCTGGTTCAACGTCATGGCTGGTGACAGCTCACACCTCTAGTGGCAAACCACACGCCCGCAAGAGACGGCCAATGGACGAGCGCATGTGTTTGGCGAGGCGTGGTTCTGGCATGGATACATTTTATTCGCTGTGCGCGGCTGCGTTTGGCTTCAATGTTGTGCTTGCCAATGCTTGTATCGGATTGGACGGGGCGGGCTTCTTTTTGGCTTCCATGAAAGCACGGGCAACACGAAATACGGACGAATACGGTGCTCTTGGGGGTCAAAAATTGGAGTCGCCTGATTGCGCAGAAACCTGGCTTTGCAACCCCCCGAAAACTTGAGCAGGGTGTTAATTTCCCGTGCCGAACCATCAGCATCGAGCCACTCCACTACCGGAACTTCAGGGCATGTGCGGCCGAATCCAGAATCAGGGCTGGTATTAATAGCCCCGCTTGGTTACCGATTCTGCACTTATGCCGCCGTTGATATCCATGGATGTGGGTTGCCAGCCTCCCTCCGACTGCAACGGTCATTTTCCCCAGCCATCAACCCTGCGAAATGTTGAGGTGACGGCGGGCAGCTGTGGTAAACGCTGGGTCCGATTTTAGCGGGAGGCGAGCACACGTACCTACGAGACCCGCAAGGTGGATGCTCGCGTGTGTTTGCGTCCTCGTCACCCTGACCCAGACGCCAGCACCTGGAGGAAGTCGATGCTTGGTCCTGAGGAGATGGACCATGGACAAGAAGCGTCACTGATGCGTAAACGCAGAAGTTCCCTGTCTGAGCAGGGCAGGAACGAAACACGATGCCGAGCTGCTGTAATCGGTCACATTGGAAAGTTGGGATCAGGAAAAAGGAGCGTGACTCTGGGCGACGGACTTGGGACGAACGCCCGCAATCCCGACAAGGCACCTGGAAAGCCAACCATGCAATTGCTGCGAGTGCTATCCGAGCTTTGGATCTGGTTGCCGTCGCAATATGGCAGATCGGCGTCCAAGCGTTGGTTCTGGCCGGAGTGGCTGGCCCCAATCTACTCCATCTACTTGGGTAACCTTTGGTCGAGGTGGTGCCCAGTGGTGCCATGGAGCCATCTTGGAAGCAAAAGAGGAAAAAGCAGCTATGGGTTATTTCGGTTCCGCCGCGTCAGCCGATCCAGGCACCATCGGCTTTTTTCTTCCTTTTTCTCCTTCTTTTTACAGTGGCATTTTGCCAAGACATGCGATCGGCAGCTTCTCCTGCAAGCGCTTATAGTCGCCCTCAGCCGCTGCCACTCACAACCCATCGATACCACTGTGCATTCAAAAGTCCTTTTTTTTTTAGCGTCGGACTCTATCCATCCGTCTCACACACACCATCGCGACCACCAAGAAAACATCCAAAACTGAACCGATCGCTCGATCCATCACTGAAGCTAGGTCCGCCAGCACCGCCACCGCTCTTGGGCCAGCCACGGGTCACGACCAGCTCTTGACGCACTGCCAGGTACGTCGCCCACTGCCATGTTGCGGATCCCATCCTTGTCGCTTTCCCCTTCGCCGCTTCGCTCGCCTGCACATGCAAATCCCCACCCTTAGCCGCGAGTCTTCTTCGGTGGTTCTATTCTGCCTGGGATCTGCGGAAACGTGCCGCGTGCCGGGTGTTTCTGTCGCTGGTCAGTCGCTGTGGGTTTGACGGCAACGAACGGATCTTCTAGGCCGCGAAAGCAGCATTGGGATCGAAGACAAAAAAAAGCTACGTTTTGGGATCTGGCCTTGTCAGGGGGCACGGGGCCCCCTAAAATGGCCCCTTCCCCTCTGGCCGGCCCCTGTGCACCCTTGTGGCTTGGCCCAGCTGCTCTGCGTCCGCAGCAGAAATAGCTGCAGTGTCCCTAGCTGCAGCTAACAGTCAGTCTCGAAGCTAACGACGCTCAGCCGGTCAGCCCAGTGCATCACACGTCCACGAACCCATATCATCAGCCCACCGGCTCGTCCTGCGAGGCCTCACCGCCGCTGTCGCTGTATTTCCACTCCTCCACGACCTGGCTTGCACTCTCTTCCCCGGGTCCGCCTGCACTAGTGGTTTCGTTATCTTGGGGCATTGCACCATATTCCTTGCGGGCGAGTGTGTTTTTTGCCCGTTCCTGGCTCGCCTTTCACCGCCACCCGATCCGAGATTCACAAGCAAACTCGAGTGTTTCGACGAAACCGCTGCCGAGACTGACGACGATCCGATCCGGCCCTTTCCTTGGCTTGGCTCTTGGATTGGTTTCCCTCCGCGTCTGGGCCCATCATTGCATTGCATATGCCCTGAGTAGCGTTTATACTCGTCTCCGACGTCTTCTGTTCTGTTATTACCCACGGACGCCCAACCTCGTTTTCTCGGCTCGACGACGGATCGGCCTCCGCTCCCAGCCTCGCCGTCGGTGCCGCGCCCACTCCTTTCCCCAACATTCCGCCTAGCATCTTTCTATATTATCGGCATCGACGACCACGCCGACGACCACAGCAGTGTCTCTCCACGTCAAAATTGCAGCTCATCCCTGTCTCTAACCGCAAGGCTACGCCAAGCCGTTCTCGAACCGTTGAAATTTTTCTGTTGCAGCATGCTCGACATCGCATAGCCGAAGAACGAGGATGTTTCTCCACTCGGGAGCCAGTCTCCACGGCCATGAATACTCGAACCGTCCAGCTCCAGGCGCGGGTCCGGCGCTCAACAGGCGCTCGCCGCTACTCCGGTCCCCTTTCTCGGCACCATTGGCCCGCAGCAACACGGCCCCTCCGTCTGCCCTCCAGTCCCGGTACGCGCCACCACAGCCCGGCCGACCGGCCCAGACCCCCCAGCCCCAGCAGCAACCGCTCCAGTCATGCCTGCCCCAAAAGCAGTCCTCTCGCCTCCGCTGGTCAACAGCCGAAGAACCCGTCGTTCGCTTCCAGGAACAGCCTGAACTTGTCGATGGAATGGCAGAGAAGCATGACTCGGTCCTTGGTCCCCCATCACCCGCAATCATTAGCGAAGACGAGGGTTCATGCTCCGAGGCCAGCGAGGTTGGTATTGGCAGCGCCAACAGCGGCGGTAGGAGTCGGAGGCGGCGCAAGCCAAGGTTACCTCGCAAGAGCAGCCTCTTCTTCCTCGCGAGGCCTGCGCCCAAGCTGGTCAAGAAGCGCCTCATGAAGCAGCTGGTCAGGCCCAAACTGCTCCTTCAGCTCCATCATCTATCTGTCGACAAGCGTCCAACTCCACTTTTGGATATTTTCCCTGCCTCCACCATTGCCGGCCCGGCCCTCGGCGGCCGCTTCGCGAAGCGTTTCCCGCGCGTCTTTGGCGTGACGGGTGATAGGAGCGAACTGGGCTCCCAAGATGTCATCCTTCTGCGAAGCGAAGAGTACTGCACAGCGGACGACTGCGAGTTGGGACCGGTGCACGACGACGACGATGAGGAGAACCTAAACTGCAGGGAACTTGTGGCCGTACTCAGCCCTCTAAGGTGGGAAGACCGCACCGAGATTGTCTTGGATGATGGAAACGTTTGGGTCGGCGAATCGCTGGCCAACGGTTCCTTCGAGTTCACCCACACTGACGCGCACGGCGCCAACACAACCGCGCGCTGGGTGAGAAGAAGCCCGGCCAAAGCCACGACCCCTAGCTTGCCGCTTGCGAATATCCAGCCTTGCCCCGACAACAGCAGCCCATGGGCAACGAGTGTGGATGAGTACAAATACACGTTCAGCATAATCGACCCGCTGTCACGCCGCCATCCGATCATGGCTACACTTACTCCGAACACCCTGGACGTTCTCGAGAACTACACCACTGTTTCCTCTTCTTACGGGAAGTACCCACCGTCAAGGCCCTTCGGTCACGGCCACGGCCACGGCGCGTCTTCGGACGAGGAGGAAGATGACGAGGAGGGCGGCGCCCCGCTGCCAAAGCCGGAGCGCCAAAGCAAGCCCGTTGACGCTGCCACGCGCAATATCATTTCCATAACGGCCGTTTGGGTGACACTCCGCCTGGGCGGTATTATGCCGGCGTCTACCGAGCGCACCATGTCCCTCCGCTCCGGCGGCGCTTCCCGTGCCCGCAATGGTAGCATGAATGGAGGCCCCAAGCCCCCGACTAGCCGGAGTGGCACTCCCTCGGCAGCCGCCGGGAGGGAGGACACGGCCACTCCAGGGCCACAAACCCCGGCTGTGGGCGGTGGCGCTTCTCTTCTTCCTCGTAGGGCGACCAGCACAGGCGCGGCTTTCGTGCAACGGCGAATGCAGATGTCGGACGCAAGTGACTCGGAGAGGGCGGTCGCCGGAGCACCGTCCTCGGGACTCAGGAGCAAGGGTCGACGCGTGCTCAGCGGAGACTGGAACGTATCCTCCTGGAAACGCAGCTCGACCCCGCAGCCCACGACGTCGACGGCAGCCCAGATCGTCGGCATGTCCCCCGTGCCGCCAAGGGAGCCCCAGTCACCGCGGAAAGACCACTCATCCACGTGGCCGCACTCCTCTGGTGGCGTCTCCCTGCTCGGTAGCAGGCCTGGTTCGGCGCAGCCCGCGTCGGATCTCGTCGCCACTCAAGCTCGATCCGACAGGCGCGCCCAGCCGACCCTCTATGGGGCGCCACCTACTGCAGCACTCGAAGCTGCCGGGCTCGTCGGGCTGCGCAACCACGCGACCTCGACGCCTGGACCGGTCGATCCGAACAGCCCTGCGGGTGCGCTTGCCGCTCTGGAGGGTGGTGTCGACGCCTCGGCAGTAGCTGGTGGTCCGGGCGTGGACAACGCCGCGCGGCCCGAGAAGGGATGGAAGCGGCTCAGTGGGTGGCTTCGCCGCTTCGGGCGATAGGCCTGCTCCTGCGCGGCACACCCCGCTTAGACAACGATCCTTTCACTAAGATCTATGGGTGCTTTGCTTTCTTGTTCCACCTTGTGCCATGGATGGCAGCAACAGTCTTGTTCGGATCACATATTTGTCTGCTCACTTCCCCTTTCGGCGTTTGTTTTACTCATCAAGATCACGATACCCTTCGCAGTATGTACTATTTTCCCCATACTCATCTTTAGTATCAGCATTAGGCGTTTTCAGGCGCACGGATTTGTTCGACTTGTTCCATAATCGACTCCAACCAAACCCCATTGTGCGGATTTGCATATTCATTCATCCTGTCGATGCTACCTGGACTCACAGTCAAATGCGTTTTCGCTTGCTAGTTTCGGTGCCTCTACCGTACGCCAGCCCCATCACCTGGGTCGTATTGTATGACGCACCAATACAGATGCTATCCGCCCCTCACACGGGCTCCATGCGGTGCACTGGGAAAGAATTTATGCTGTTACACATTCACTTGAGCACCAGACTGTTGTGCCCCCAACCCCATGCCGCGTGTTGACGATGCGCTATTTGTGACGGACATGATGCAGGCAGCCACCCTGCGTGTTGCATTCGATCGTGCGGGATGTGATTACAGAGGCGACTGCTTTGTGGGGTGTGTTCCAAGCAAAGCAGCATGTGTGTTCCGTATCTCGGTCCAGCCATCCCATCCCGTATACAGTCCTCTTTCGAAAGCCAACAGTCAGTCGTCGTCGAGTCTACCATGCAAGCTGGTGGCCTAGTTCGGGATGCAAAATGCTCAAGGATGAGGAGCAGACAAAGCTGCTCACTTGGTGTGCATCAACCCGACACTTGAGAACTTGGTGGTGTGTTTGTTCAAAACACCAGTATTCTGAGAATCCAACACCGTGGCCAGGCTTTACAATTTGCCTGCTATCCTTAGCTATCCTTGACTTTGTGGCTCTAGAGCCATGTTAATGTTCGAACTCCATCGATTTGAAGTGGAGACTCTCACCTCCCCCATCAAGGTGGTTTGTAGAAATGAGGATCGGGACAAGCAGGCCAACCTCGGGCTCGACATCAAGCTGTTGGTGATTCTTCGGTTCTTATATTATCATACTATCCCTGAAAATAGCCAATAATGCAATTGGCGTCAATTCCGTATAGGGTCAACCACAACCCTCGCCACAATCCTCACCACAATCAAACACAGCGAGACCTATAGGTGGGACTATAGCAAACCCGTGGGAGCATATGGAACTCAAAGGGCATACGAGTTTTTATGAAACCGCTCAGTGTCACCCATATCTCCCAGGGCATTGAACAGTAAAGCGTGTATCAACTCCAACGATCCGGGTTCCCTGCTTGCATTGTCTGTTGACTACATGATGTGTCACATATCATCTGACCTGGCCAGCACGCAATTGGATACGCCATGTGCAGTCTCCCGAGGATCTTGGAGTTTCATGTAAGTAACGAAATCCCTGCCCTTTGTATTCACGGGGAGGAATATAAGTTGCAATCTTCCATGACAACGCCCGAGTTCTATCACGTTTGGACATTTGGAGTTTACTTTTACTGATTGTTGTCTGTGATTGCACCAGCTGGAGACCAAGCATTGGCCGAGCTTGTTTACCATAGGTAAATCATGAAATGGCTTCCCCCATTCCCACCAGTCTGCACGATGGACGTCTTCCACGGATGCAATGCCGATCGTCGGCGGTCCTTGAATGGGCGCTTGTGGTGGGGCTTTGCTCGATGAGCTGCCAGATGCCTTGTCATCAGTGCGGGATGATGCGGGTCCAGGTGATGTGCTCTGTGATTGGCCATGACGGTTGATAGGGCTCAGACTACCTGGGCCTAAACAGCACCTGGGTGGCGGCGTTGCAGCGGGTGTTAGTGGGCGTGTAGGTGGGCTCCTGGCTGCTAGTGTGGGGCAGGTGCCCGATGCTGAGCAGCCGACACGGGTCTGGTCTTTGTGGTCTGGTTATTTCGAGCCCGAGGCCGCGCCGCAGATCAAGAAGCAAGCAATTTGACATCACGCAGCCGAACCCAGAGCCGGACCACAGCCAGCCGCCCAACAGCCCACGCGCCCAGCACAATTGAATGCGACAGACGGCGCCCGCCATCTCCCGTCCCAGCCTCCCTTGCGCCCGCCCGCGTCGCTCAGACGGCCCTAGCCGACCAGCAAAAGCCGAGCAAAGGCCTTGTTTCCCGCCCTGCGCTTTTTGTTTGCGCACTCCACCTTGGCTGCCCTTGGCGTCCTCGACGCCTCGACGTCGACACCACCGCCCGGCACGGGTGAGCCTCACGGATAGCCCTCAACGGATAACCTTGGACTAGCCCCGACCCGAGTGCCACGAGGCTTCAGACCAACGCCACGCCTGTCCCAACCAAGCCCTGGCCCCGTCGCATCACCCGTAATACCCCAACCCGCGCGGATTCCCAGAGGGTGCAGTCCTAGAAAGAGTCGGTGCTGGCGTCGCCTGTCTGCAAAGCTGAGGTAGTCTGACCCAGCCTCGCCGCCTCCCCCGAGTGCCCTGCCGTCGACCACCCACCATTGCCCGACGACGGTGCAATCCCCCGGCCAGACTGATTGCGCCACACATACACACACGCATCCATCCCGACACGCGACCCAAGGTGGGCAAACAAGGGTTGTGGCTCACCTCACCTCACAATCCGATCCGAGCACGCCAACACGCCAACACACCAACCCATCCCACAGCCATCCCGGGCCTGGCCCTCGTCGTGCTCACCCCGGCGTCGAGAACCTAAACGAACAGGACTTCCCTTCACCCCGCGCGCCGCGACCACCACCCTTTCCCTCGTTCGTTCAACATGATGCCAAATCCGCATCTGTATGGCCACCACCAGTACACCCCGCAGGGGGACTCGTCGTGGATGCACCAACAGAACACGCACCACCAGCACGCAGCCGCCGCCCAGCAGCAGGCCGCCGCAGCCGCAGCCGCCGCCTCGGCCGCCCAGCAGCAACATTATACCCGCATCGCATCAGCGCACCCGGCCAACGCGCTGGCCTCGGCCGCGCACGCCGCCCAAGATGAGGCTATGGGGCCCGGCATTAGCGAGGACAATCGGAGGACGCTCGCCTACATCGCCGACCTCCTCAACGAGAGCACCCGCGAGGCCGCGCTGCTCGAGCTCAGTAAGAAGCGGGAGCAGGTCCCAGAGCTGGCCCTGATTCTCTGGCACTCTTTCGGTACGCGCCTGCCCCTTTTATGATGTTCTGTCAACACTGCCTCTAGACGAGATCCTGGTCTCGCATTGGCTGTAGACGGGTATGACCGGCGGAGTTGGCTGCTTGACTGCGACATTTCAGACCGCCTTTGTGATGCTGACACTACACCCGGCATAGGTGTCATGACCTCGCTGCTGCAGGAAATCATCTCGGTCTACACACTTCTCAACCCATCCCAGCTCACCGCGGCAGCGTCGAACCGAGTATGCAACGCGCTTGCGCTGCTCCAATGTGTCGCGTCGCACAACGAGACTCGGACCCTTTTTCTCAATGGTACATAACAATTCCCTGGCCCGGCTGTGCTTGGCTGGACTGCGCAGGGTCTGCTGTGCGGTGAGGACATTGCTGACATGTTTACAAAGCACATATACCTCTCTATCTCTACCCTTTCCTGAACACGACCTCCAAGTCTCGGCCTTTTGAGTACCTCCGCCTGACGTCGCTCGGCGTCATTGGGGCGCTGGTCAAGAACGATTCCTCCGAGGTGATCAACTTCCTCTTGACTACCGAGATCATCCCGCTCTGCCTTCGTATCATGGAGACAGGCTCGGAACTTAGCAAGACGGTTGCCATCTTCATCGTGCAAAAGATTCTGTTGGATGATAACGGCCTCAACTACATCTGCGCTACGTATGAGCGATTCTACGCCGTGGGGACCGTGCTGAGCAACATGGTTGCGCAGCTGGTGGAGCAACAGACGGCTCGTCTGCTCAAGCATGTTGTTAGGTGCTTCCTGAGGTATGTGTTTTCCAGCTCTAGGGCCGGCCCAGCCGGTCTCGGCCGTTTTTGGTGTATCGACGGGGGCCTAACCGCGTCATCTCGTTGCTGTATAGATTGAGCGACAATGCCCGTGCTCGTGAGGCGCTCCGACAGTGTCTCCCCGACCCTCTGCGAGATGCCACGTTTTCTTCGGTGTTGCGTGATGACGCTGCTACGAAGAGATGTCTCACCCAACTGCTGATCAACCTCTCGGACAATGTTGTCGAGCCCGGGAGCGGTCACCACGGGCTCTGAACGGGCACCGTTTCGAACAAGAGCAGCAAGGACAGATGTAACCGTTCTGCTTGCTCCAAAACCACACATGTCCCAGTCCGGAGGGCGATACCTACAAGTTGTCGCTTCTGCCGTTGCGACCAGGGCCGACGGGAACGTATGCCCGGGAGCACACGGCTTTCTCTCCACAACTCACGGCGCGAAACCGAAACGACAAGACGACAAACCTCTTTCTTTTGTTTTGAACTGTACCCGCATTCATCAGCCACAACACTAGCCGCGACGACAAAACACGCATACCCGGAAGTTTATGGAGTGCCAGCATCTTTTCATTCTTGGCCTTTTTTGTTTTCAGCCTTGCCGCTTTCCGCTGTATTGGATCATATCTAACTTCCATTGGAAGGAGGCGTACCACGGGCCAAGGCTTTTTGTTCATACCTTGCCTCAACCTTGTCCACCAGAGAGTGCTCTGACCCTTGGCCTTTGTGTACCTTTCTCTGTGGGGGATGACTCCCATCACCCACTCGCCTGGTTTGGGGAAAGGTATGAGCAAACCTTGGATGTTCCCGTCTCGGCCTGGATCACGTTGTCCGGAGCCGCCCTGGGTCGTTGATTATAAAATAACGCATGGGGGAGGGCGACGAGAGACGAGACGGGCATGTTGGGATTGGGTGCGCAAAGGTTGACGGGTCCTTGCATTTTCTTGGGAGGTGGGAATCGTTTTATGTGCATGATCCTAGAGGTTATACCCTTGGGTGCGTTTTGCTTGCCGGCGTTGGAACCAGAACACGTGGCTGGGCTGGGAGGGGGGGAGGGGGAAAAACTGGGAACCTAAAGCAGCCGGCTGGCTCACGAGGCTCTACTTCAATGTATAATAGCAAAACCAAAAACTTTTTGTTCTTCTCTAGTGTAGATATATTCCAGGGCGCAGCGTAAGATGTTGACCCAGCATGTCCTCGAAAACCCCGCGCGCGCGACGTTGCACATTATCCCGCCGTTGACACGGGGTTTGTGTCTGTCCATCCCGTTTCACATGCTAACCCGGGCTACCATCCGCCTGTCACGTCGGGGGCACCGCACTCGACGTCATCGGGCAGGGCTGGGGGGAGGAGGCCGTTTGTTTGAGCGGCTACCGGGCACTGCCCACAAAGCCGAGACGAGGCGCAGAAGGTCGGGAGTGTCACGAGGGTGAGGATGCTTGTGAAGGCGTGATGATGTTGGGGGGTTCCGCAAGTTTGCTTGTCGAGACTAAAGGTGTGCTCTACAATTCACCCTTGGATTTTTTTTCTTCCTTTATAAACCTCTTTCTTCTCTGAAAGCGCTGCATGCATGTTCCGGCTAGCGCTCGATAAAATCCCAACCCTTTAATGTGCTGGCATGGCATGGCAGCTGCGGCAGACGATGGGCAACCTGTGTGCCTGTCCAGACCTACGCTCGGGTCTGGCGGGAAAATAGCAGCTCACACCCACGACAGCCAAGCCCGCTACGGATGCACGAATACGCCGGCGGTCTTGGGCCGTCTATTGTTTGTTGCGATTAGGGTCTGCTCTGGTCTGGGGTAGTGGTAATCCAAGAGCGACGATAAAAAACCAGGACGCGCACTGGCCGTTTTGTGGGAAGGAAGGCATGTGGTGTGCAACAGATCCAGACCACCACCACCACAACCCCCGATCCTATCCCTGTAGCCGGCAAGCGGTTAGGCGGGGTGGAGGGTCGGGCTGTTTCTGTTTTTCTGCTCACCTCGAATATGGAATGGGGGCGGCTGGCTGCACGTGGCCCAGCCGGTGGCGGGCGCCCAGCACGCTAGCTGCGTCTTGGAAGGCCCAGACCAAATTCGAGGAGCGTCGCACCGGGTCAGGTTGAGCTAAACAGTGTTCAAAGGGTTGTAACAGGAGCAGGATGACCCCTGCTATCCACCCCCGGCGCGTTCCTCCCCTCGCCGGCACGGCCAAGGTCGGAGACGAAATAAGCACCCCCAAGGCGAGAGGGAGCAATGGAAGCTGGCAGCGGTCAAAGGGTCGGTGCGGTCCACCTCTAGGAGATTTCCTTGGTGACCTATCGAGGGCGCGAACAATGGGAAAAAGGACAACCCGTCAGGCTGTCAGGATGAGATTCCCGCTATCTGTGCCCGGTTCCAGTGGCGTCGCTTTTGCTTATGGGTGCGAGTTGCATTGCAGGAACCACCACTTGCAACTGCACCCTCTGGCCAAAGTTGATGGACAATGTCTGCCGCCACCGCCACCGCCACCGCCCACCTCGTGAGCTGCCTTGCTTGGTGTGTGTCTCGTCTCATCTAATCCGTCGTGTCCAGGCCGTGGGTGGGAGGACTTGGAACGGCAAGACGAGACAAGAAAGAGAACCTCGGGGGATGAGAGACATGGAAGAAACACAGAAACTTGACATCATCATAATTTGTGGGGAGCGGTCGTGCCTCAGAGCTGGGGTCTTTTCCCGGGGACCAGAACATGGAAACAGCGCCCAGTGCCTTATCATCGGCGCACGTCAATCGTCTATGCTGGATGGTTCCAGCGGCCTGCCACCCTGCACGGTCCACACAGACTCCCCGCCCCTAGCCGACTGGGCCCTGCTTGGGGACGTTGTCAACTGACTGGCGGCGCCAAAACAACGCTAGCAATATAGGGAAAGTTCGTTCATTCCCCCTTTTCCGTTGTTTTCGTCGTCTGACTGTGCCACCCGTCGCCCGTCCCACTCTCCTTGTTATTATTATTTTTCTTCTTTTGCTTCTTTTCGTTTCTTACCTCTTTGCTTTTCGTGTTCTGCGGCAACTTCTCATGCCCCGAGCACCCGAGTTGAGGTGACGGAGCGCATAATACGGGCATCGATCACGAGCATCGAGCACGAGCATTGACTTGACCCACGTCGTCCCAACTTTGTTTCCAGCGGCCTCGTGCTGCCTACCCCCTGGGGAACGTGGAGAAGGCGTTCGCAACACCACCACCGCCGGTACGAAACACCAACATCACCACCACAACCGCATGGCTTCGGCCGCTACGGTGACGGTCCTGTCGACCGTCACCGCATCCGCGGCCACGCATGCCGCGACCGCGGCCGCGCCCCAGGCCGGCGTGCTCGAGGGCTCGAACCCGGTCCACTACGACCCCAAGGACCCCATCATTCTGTTCATCGTGCAGGCGTCCATAATCATCATCTTCTGCCGCCTGCTGTACTTCCCGCTCAAGTACTTTGGCCAGCCCAGGGTCATTGCCGAGGTCATCGGCGGCATCATCCTGGGGCCCTCGGTCATGGCCCGCATCCCGGGCTTCCAGCAGGCCATCTTCCCGGCAGAGTCCATGCCCGTGCTTGCCAACGTGGCCAACCTGGGTCTCATCATCTTCATGTTCATCACCGCCCTAGAAGTTGGTGAGTTTTTGTTTGCCCCAGCCCGCCTAGCTAGCCCCTGCCACCAACTAACCCTTGCCTACCACCCCTGCAACACAGACCTGAACCTGTTCCTACAGAACTGGAAGGTCGCCGTGAGCGTCTCCTTCGCCGGGCTGGTGCTGCCCTTCGGCATGGGCTGCGGCATCGCCGTCGGCATCTACAACGAGTTCGCGGGCGACATGGTCAAGAACGTCAACTTTGGCGTCTTCGCCCTCTTCGTCGGCACCGCCATCGCCATCACGGCCTTCCCCGTGCTCTGCCGCATCCTGACGGAGCTGAACCTGCTCGGCACCTCGGTCGGCGTCACCACCCTCGCCGCTGGCGTCGGCAACGACGTCGTCGGCTGGATCCTCCTCGCCCTCTGCGTCTCGCTCGTCAACAACGCCAGCGGCCTGGCCGCCCTCTGGGCCCTGCTCTGCTGCGTCGGCTGGATCCTGCTGCTCGTCTTCGCCGTGCGCCCCGCCTTCATCTGGATGCTGAAGCGGAGCGGGAGCCTGCAGGACGGGCCTTCGCCGGGCATGGTCACCATGACGTTGCTGCTGGTCCTGTGCTCTTCGTTTTTCACCGGTGAGTGGTCTGATGTGAGCCGACGCTGATGCTGTGTTGGTTCGGTGTTTTCTGTGGACGCTAACCGCCAAAAAAAAAAATCCTTCCAGGCATCATCGGAGTGCACCCTATCTTTGGCGGTTTTCTCGTGGGCCTGATATGTCCGCACGAAGGCGGCTTCGCCATCAAGCTGACTCAGAAGATCGAGGATTTCGTCGGCGTGCTCTTCCTGCCCCTCTATTTTGCCCTCTCCGGGCTGAAGACTGACATTGGTCTGCTCAACGACGGCATCGTCTGGGCCTATGTCGTCGCCATCACCCTCCTCTCGTTTGCCGGCAAAATCATCGGCGGAACGCTCGCGGCGCGATTCTGCGGGCTCCTTTGGCGTGAGAGTGCCGCCATTGGTGTTCTAATGAGTTGCAAGGGTCTTGTGGAGCTTATTGTCCTGGTAAGTCGCTGGCGATACATTGGCCGCGCCAATATCTAGCCTGCGGCACTGACACTAACCTCCCTCCCTCCACAGAACATCGGTCTCCAGGCCGGTATCCTATCCCCTCGGACCTTCACCATGTTTGTCATCATGGCGCTCGTCACCACGGTGACAACCACGCCCGTTACCAAGTGGCTCTACCCGCCTTGGTACCAGAAGAAGCTGGAGCGCTGGAGGCGTGGAGAGATCGACTGGGATGGGAACCCCATCTACCCCGAAGCCAAAGGGTCGCTGGAGCAGCTAGAGTCCACCAGCGTCAACCGCGTTCTCGTGCACCTTCGGCTCGACAGCCTGCCCAGCGTCTTCACCCTCATTGCGCTGCTTGGACGGACCACGGGTACGGAGCCGTCGGGCACCGGCTCCCAGTCCGACAACAAGACCCCTGGCAGCGAAGACGGCGCCCTGCAGCCGCAGACCAAGCCTGGCCTGGGACGCCGCCACCTTGAGGTGCATGGTCTCCGGATGCTGGAGCTGACGGACCGTACATCGTCGGTCATGCAGGTGACGGAGGGCAACGACCTCTCCGAGAGCGACCCGGTCGTCAACGTGTTCCGGACCTTCTCGCAGCTCCACGAGGTGGCCGTGTCGGGCAAGGTGGCCATCGTGCCAACGCACTCTTACGCCGAGACGCTGGCCGACAAGGCCAACGACGTCGGGTCCGACCTGGTGGTGATACCGTGGAGCCACACGGGCTCGCTCGCCGAGGACCAGTTCTCGCCGCACTCGGTGTCGCAGCAGGACCGGTTCAACGACAGGAGCCACCTCGACTTTGTAAACGGCACCCTGCGCAGCGCGACGTGCAGCGCGGCCGTCTTCATCGACAACGGCTTCGGCGGGCCCGGACCGGGAGCCGGCAAGGCGCAGAAGCCCGGCCTGGTGCGCAGCGTCAGCCGGCTGTCGATCCGGAGCCAGCGCGAGACGGCGACGCTCTTCCTCATGGACCGCACGCACCACGTCTTCATGCCCTTCTTTGGCGGGTCCGACGACCGCGTCGCGCTCCGGTTCGTGCTCCAGCTGGCCAAGAACCGGCTCGTGACCGTCACCATCGCCAACCTCAAGTGGCGCCCGCAGGCGGCCGACGACAACCTCCCCACTAGCCCCGTGGATGAAGAGGAGGAGGATGCCACGGGCAACATGGACAGCGTCGCGAGGGCCACCAGCGCGTCGTCGGGTCGCGGCGCGGCCGACAAGGCGGCGGCGGCCGTCGTGGTCGAGACCCGCGCGGCGGGCCGGGCTGCCGACGACGC